CTGTATTAAATTCGTTGATATGTTCAGCAACAATAGTATTTTCAGACATCTTTAGATTAAATAACTTTTTTCATAAGATATACCTTATTCACCGCTGAAGGCTTTTCGTACATCTTTTTTAGGGCTTTGAACAAATTTGATGTAGTCTTTTCTTTGGCGATGTTCGATGCAACTGACAGCGCTAGGCATAGTCGCACAGTCGCTAGGGATTTACGATCCAGAACATCCCACTTTGCTTGCTCTATATCCACTGACTTTTTCCCATCGATAGGTTGATAAAGATCCTTCTGATACAAAATATCCTCCATCTGTATCTTCCAAAACGCGTAGTTCGTGCCATTGAATTTTTCGATCTTAACTTTATCTTCTGCCATTGTGTAAACCCTTGACCTCTTAACTTAGAGCTTTGATACCAGTTGTTGGAATTTAACACGATTTAAATCCACTAACAAACACACACAATCGAATAACAAATCAAGAATATAAAGCAATAAGAAACAAGAAAGAACAAGACACAGATTTTACGTGGTTCAGCAATTTGCTTACGTCCACAAAGCTGCAGGGATTTCACTATTGAGAGAGTTGAATACAGAGAGCGGCTGTACAATCCACGATTAACCCTAATCACCAAAACAACGGGGTTTATATGTCCTACGCACTGGGCTATATAAGAAGGGTACATGTCACAGACGCTGAAACCTGCAGCCAACTTTACAACTTCCTTTGTGCAACAAATGCTTCTTGGTGTTTGCTTTTCTTACCAAATGCTGCTCTTGCATAATACCATATGTCAGTGAGAAAATTTTCTTGCTAAGATTGATCAGTGATCTCCCGTTTGAAGATATTGATCTAATGAGATTCATGACCTCCTCTTCCCTTATTGATCAAAATCCTTGGACGTGTTTTGGATTCAACAGCTCCATTGTGCAAATTTTTTGCAATTGTCTCTAGTAATCATCATACGGGGAAAAGCCAACGCTCATAGAATCGAAAGTAAGAATTCGTGCAGCAACAAGGGTGGGTCTGCAAGCAAAGATAGCATCATGTATTTTCATAACCTGTTATGCAATTTCTGGGAAGAAACAATGACAGTGGAGACTTCACTGAGTTTTAGGTGCATCATAGGCCCAAATATCTTGGCTAAATCTCTCAGGATCTGATGAGTTGATGATCAAAGAAGTTGGTGCCTGTTTCCTATGAGAGACAGTTGCCATGGCCCTGGAGGTAGTTTTGGAGTTGAGTTATTTGCAGTGTATCTCTTCACACTAGTTCTGAATAACACAGACAGGAAGAGGAGGAAAGGAAGAAGAGTGCAGATGGGGGAAAATTGAAGTTCCATGAGAATTAAAGAGAGTAGCACCGAAAATTGAAGAAAGAGCTTTATTGGGTTTGTTGGTTTAACATTTGTATATATGTCTTTAATATTGTTACAAAGCAAGTTTGTAACTGGACTTACTTGTGTCCCACTTTTACAATGATCCAAGAAGATAATAAGTCTCATTTAAATGTGCGATAGGTGATATATTTGAAGGAATTGATCGATCAGGATTAGATTTATGTGGGTGTCGTGGTTCCAAATTGTTGGTTTTTTGTGGAGTCTAGTTTGTATATGTGATCCGGATGATGATCCGACCCGAAGTAATGTTGTGTGGTTTTTTAATGAAAAATTTTCTGAGGCTTAGTCCATAGAGCGAAGGTTTGGGCACAATTTGTTTTGGGCCCGTTATATAGCCCAATGCGTAGGACATATAAAACCCGTTGTTTTGGTGATTAGAGTTAATATGGTGAATTGTACAGCCACTCTCTGTATTCAACTCTCTCAATAGTGAAATCCCTGCAGTTTTGTGGACGTAGGCAAATTGACAAACCACGTAAAATCTGTGTCTTGTTCTTTTTTGTTTGTTATTGCTTTATATTCTTGATTTGTTCTTCGTTTATGTGTGTTTGTTAGTGAATTTAAACTGTTGTTAAATCCCAACACAAATTGCTCAGATGTGCCCCTGGTGGGACTGGCTAGCATGCCATTGTCGAGCTGAATTTTAATCTTGCCATCTCTTGTTCTTTTCAATCGCATAGTTACTATGTTGTGCAAGTGTGATGGAGTTTGAATTCATGATGAACGATTGGAAATTGACGTCTTTTGAGATGGAGCGCATGTGACTTGGACTAATTTGACCAATCAGCCGATAGGGATGGTAAGGTCCTGATGGATGGGGGGAGGAGAGGATGAAGCTTCAACAGGGAGGGAATAGGGCTGCCGACAGAAAAAACTAGATTGTTGTTTGCTTGCCGGAGGAAGTGGTTTTATAACAGTTGTGAGCTGGTAAAGAATCAATTTTCAAGGCCATTGGTGACTGTCATAGTTTTTTGTCAGCACAGAGAAAATTGTTCATTGAACACCATTTGGACCATATGGTTCTAATTACTGAATTAATCTGTGAGGCCACTGAAGAGGTTTTAAATGGATTTCTGTCATAAACCATGACATGTCTTCTTTTTTCTACTTATAAATCGAAGTTACCAAGTAATTGCTGAGAATGGCAGTAGATGCCACCAATGATTCATAACTCGCAAATTGTATGGTGGATTTTTTTTCAATATATAACTTTCTTTATTGGGATATGATATATGTCTAATAGGCTGGATTTTCTTACAATACATACATTATCCACAATCCACGCAAACTGCTCCACGTAAAGAAACTCCTCCGAAAATGTAGCACAGCATTTTCAAAAGCATTGGCCATTGACCTCAGCATATCTTCTATCCTACTATTTGACAGGAGAAGGATGATAAGGAACAGGAACCAAGTACAGCTCTTGTTTTCTTCTTACTGTCAAGCCAGAGGCCTCAGTCATGTCTATTTCTTCTGGTTTCAATCCATTGGGGAGTTTCCAATCAAAATTGTACAGCAGTTGTGCAAGTGGGAGTTCAATATTAGGCAGGGCATAAAGTATGCCTGGACATATCCTTCTTCCAGCACCAAATGGGATATACTCAAAATTTGTCCCCTTGAAATCGACTGCACTATCAAGAAATCTCTCGGGGTTGAATTTCTCAGCTTCAGTCCAGTATCTTGGATCTCTGCCAATTGCCCAGGCATTGACTATAACTCGGGTCTTGGCTGGTATTTCATATCCATTAACTTGACATTGCTCACTGCATTCTCTTGGAACCAGCAGAGGAGCAGATGGGTGTAGCCTCAAGGTCTCTTTTATTACTGCTTGCAGGTATTTTAACTCATGAAGACCACTTTCATCCACATTTCCATTTTTAGCAAATGCTTTTCTTACCTCAGCTTGTGCCCTATTCATCACTTCTGGGTTTTTAAGCATTTCTGAAACTGCCCACTCCAGTGCTGTCGATGAAGTGTCACTCCCTGCACTGAAAATGTCCTGAAATAGATTTAGATGAGCTTGGATTAGTTTACCGGTACTGCCAAATATTTAGATTTTGCCTGTGAATCTCTGGAATCACACCACGTACGGCTATAGGAAAGGAAGAAAATATAAAATTAACTATGCTACTACATGAAGCCTGAAAACTTTGGACTCCAGCATTGGTTCCAATTGTCACATTTGAGGAGAGGTATAGGGTGGTTATTTCTTATAAGATTCCAATATATCTCTATTGAAACCATTAGAACTACCTTGCATTAATAATCATGCATTTCCCTGGTTTCATATCATGGAGCCACTTTTCTTCTGAGCTAATATATTTAACAGAAGATAAGCTACAAGGATGGAAAACTGCATATAACAACACATATCGTCGAAATTAACGGGTGGCAATTGTGTTGTGTTGGGTCAATTTAGTGTTGGTTTTGAGTCCTGTTTACGTGTCGTGTCAGAAATTGCCACCCTTACTCACTTACCAGGATGACTGCCTTAATGTTGCTGTCGGTTAATGGAATTTCTAGGTCTCCATGCTTCTGAAATTTAAGAAGGATGTCAACTAGATCCTCCTCTGCTGCTTCCTCTCCGGTTTTTGTGCTTTTCTCTTTCTCTTTGTGTTCTTTGACAATGTTTTCAAGTATCTCATCAATTCTTTTGTGTATATTCTCCAACCTTGGTCTCATTCCGCTTATCACCTGAAGAAATTTCAGAGAAGGGTACATGTCGCAGAGGCTGAAACCTCCAGCTAGCTTTATAGCTTCATTTATCAGAGAGATGAATGCTTCTTGTTCTTTTCTGTTTCTGCCAAATGCAGCTCTTGCTGTAATAGCATATGTCAGTGAGAAAATTTTCTTGCTAAGATTGATTGGTGTTATCCCGTTTGAAGAAATTGATCTAATGAGATTCAAGGTCTCCTCTTCCCTTATTGATCGAAAACTCTGGACACGCCTTGAAGTCAGAAGCTCCATGATGCAAATTTTGCGCAGTTGTCTCCAGTAATCTCCATAGGGGGAAAATACAATATTTGTAGACTCATAAGAGATGATCCATGAAGCGAGAAGGTAAGGTCTATTAGCAAAGATGATATCATGTGTTTTCATAACCTGTTTGGCAATTTCTGGGGAGGAAACAATGACAGTGGAGACTTCACCGAGTTTGAGGTGCATCAGTGGTCCATATTTCTTGGCTAAATCTCTCAGGATGTGATGAGTTAGTGATCCAAGAAGCTGGTGCATGTTTCCTATGAGAGGCAGTTGCCATGGCCCTGGGGGTAGTTTTGGAGTTGAGTTATTTGCAGTGACTCTCTTCACAGTAATTCTGAATACTACAATCAGAAAGAGAAGGAAAGCAAGAAGAGTGGAAATGGAGGGAACTTGAAATTCCATGAAGGATTAAAGATAATAGCACTCAGGACTTGAGGAGGAGTGTTAATGGCTTGTTAGCAGGAAGGCTTCTATGAGCCTTTAAATTGATGCAAAGCAATTCATTGTTGCTGCCATTTATGACTTTCATGAGGCACTTCATGCGGTGCCGTGTCAAATAAAAATTATTTAATTATAAAAAATGCATGCCAAAAATGAAGAAAAAAAATAAAAAATATCTTCTAATAATTCTAGCTAAACGGATTTTTCGTGGGCAACATTAAGTTGGTCTACTTATTATAATTGTTTTAGTGAGTTGTGTCGTTATTGAGTTCTTGCGTATGAGATTTGTGTCACACGCCAGCGCGAGTCATCTTTGACGGAATTAAGATAGAGCTTGGCCGATAGAGTTTATGTGAATAATGTCAAATCTTGGGTTGAATTTTTGTCCTAAAGCTGGATTTGGATAGACTAGTCCTCTGAAGCTTTGCAATGGTTTTCCGTCATTTGGTTTATTTTATGTAGTTTTGTTTTCTGACTAAAGTGGCTGCTGATGATGGGAAGTTTAATTTGAAGACTGGATTGAAATTCCTTATGACCAATTTTTTGCATGGATTGTGACGATTCTTCTGGATTAATATATCTTCATAGTAATGAATGATAGATTGCACATCGTTCATGAATAAGCAAGGACATCTCGTGCAATACTATGAAAAAGAATTCTAACGTGTTTGGTAAGTTGTAATAAAATATAGAAATAAACCGATTATTACTTGCTAATGTTTAGTATGTAATAATGAAAATTCATTTTTATTTTCGTAGAATGTCTAATTTCATCAATATATGATTTGTCATTCATCGGTATTTAGTGGTATTTCTCATTCTCAATTACCATTACTAATTACCATTACTAGTCACTACTACCACTATCACCGTCACCACAACTCCCACCACTCGGGGCTAGGGTCAGGGTCGGGTCGGGTCGGGGTCCAAGTTAGGGGTCTAGGTTTGGGATTGAGCCTAGGTCCGGGCCTAAGGAATTTTTAAATACTTATGTATCTAAATATTTGAGTGAATTTTTAATTATATTTCAACGTTTAATCCTAGTTGTTGTCAACCATTGGATTCATATGTTAATTTTATTGTCACATTAATTAATTATTTTATAAAAGTATTATCGCGTATCAGGTAACATAAGAAATAATTAGATAGGATAGATGTTGAAATTTCAATTGATGTGATGCCTGTGTCTAAATTATGTGGTATGTATGTAACTTGGACAATTCAACAGGATAGATGTTGAAATTTTGTCCAGAACTAGAAGCCTTATCCTTTGGCATGAAAGTATATAGGCTTGGCTTTAAAGCCATAAAAAAGGACTGACGTGTTTGCCACGAAGATTAGGATTTTATGGCCATCAACTTCGAAGTTTTGGCAAGGCTGTCGAGTAAATGTCAAGGTGGGTGGCGTTGAAGTCATTTAGGGTGGTTTTCTTGGAATGGGAGTTGACAAAGGCTTGTTCCGCGCGAAAAATTACAAGCTGTTTGGTTTTCTGTTCGTTCTTCACCCAAGATTCCTAAGGGACCTTCAGGCTGCTGCTCCAAGTCATCGGAGGCGAAAGACCTCCTTGATCATTAAGGGGGTGTTTGGCAATGCAATGGTGGATTGGACTGGTTTCGATTTAAATTCCAAATCAATCTAATGAAATCTCAATAACTCGGATATAATATTGCATAAAAACAAATGATTTTATCTAATCCTTGATTTGAATAGTAATTTATAATATTGTGGGCTCCATGGACAAACCAATTTTTTTTTGGTCAAATCTCGTAACTTTAATATTAATTTACCATCTTACCCTTAATTCTATCCAAACCTATCTCATGTTTTGCTTGAGAAATTTTTAGTTACCACTTTAATATTGAATTTTTTAAACAATAAGACATCATCTGTATTTCATTAAGTAGGAAAGTTTTGGTTATAATCATTCAAAAGAAAAGTTTTAAACTCTCGGGGGATTAGAGCCAACCCAATCCAACATGAGAGAATTGTTTAACTTGACGGCTGCCACCCAGTGAGCAGCCTTGTTATAGGCCTAAGGCTTGTGTAAAAAGTTAAGATTAATATTGAATTGAAAATTTATGCCTAGTTAGCTATCGTAAAAAATCAAAAATTTTCCATTCATTGTAAACAAATTTTAAAACAGCGACCACAAATATATTCGACCCACCAAAAATATTATATTGAAATTAATTAACAAAAAATATGACAACTGAATCCAAGAGCCAAAATTACACAAACATTAACATTTTTTTTAAAGAAATCAAAATTTATTTCATTTTTCAAAAAAAAAAATTACAAAAAGCAAATTATTCAGTTCACATTACAAAGAATCAAAAAAGAAAATTTTCCTTATGAGCACCTTGATTCCTTGCTGTTCTGCAACAACAGCTACACAGATCCTAGAAAAAGAAAGAGGAAAGCCATCTTGTTTGAAGGCTTTAATCCTTCAAAACAAAAAAAAATAAAAAAAACAACTCTCCTTTAGGATCACAAACCAGCCTCCACTGCCCAAAATCGAAAGACAATTGAAACCAGCTCATCAGTTATCAACCGTTATCATCATACACCAATATCTTCTTCTGGCGAAGAACAGACAGTAGTGTTGAATCTTGCAGCAGAACCAACTGCACAACACTTGGCAGATTATTAGCATCTGAAAAAATCAGTTGAAAATCTATCTTGCATTGCTTGATTTACCAGTTTACCAGCAACTATATTAGCTTCCCTATAAACATGTGTTCAGCTCATAATCAGATAGGCTCAATAGGTTCTTGATCTGTCTAAAAAAATCCAGAACAGTCCATGCACATTCACACCTCTCCATCACATAATTAACCAACACCAACGACTCTGATTCCGACAAATACATGAACCATAAACCCTTTTAAAAATTCATAACATTGCATAGCGATATTCCCCTGAACTAAATTTCATATGTCATTTTCTTTATTTCAACTTCCACATGAAAATTGTTAAATGTGATTCTTGTTACACCCTCAACCAAATACAACCCATTAACAAAACTCACGGATGACTCATAACACATGATACCATATGCAAAAAATTTGAAGATTACTCAAGCACAAGATAATATAAACCCAAATTTGATGTAAAAGGCTAGTTCTGAAACATATTTATAATCAGTATGCTAAACAATATATGTTGTTAATCGTTTCTTATACTTTTATGAATGTTGATTAGAACAAAATGCGAAATAAAAACACAGTGAAAGGAAGTATGTCAATATCTAATATAAATTTTGCATTAATTATTCAAGAGCCAAGACATACACAGATGAGAAAAAATATGAAGCACCAAGATTTTTAGCAAATTTTAAACTAAGATCAAAAGAGAATGTGATCAGAGTTGACAGAGATAGAGAGTGTTGCCAATTCATGAACTTCATCTAAAATCATTTTCTCTAACCCAACAACTTCACCAATCCCATAATCAAGTTAAAAAATATTTACCAAGACCATCAAACATCCAAGAATTCAGACATACATAAATACATAAGAGTATATGTTAGTTCAAATACACAAACAAATTAGGGGAGGGCAAACCAGTAGCACCATTACTGGGGTGAGACTGGGACTGAGACTGAGAGGGAGAAACTAATGGCGTATGAGAACTAGTACCTCTGAAGTGATTCGAATTTCGTTATCGTCAACGGGTGCTTCAGACATTGATTTATATAGACTAAATTTTCTAGATTTTTTTCTGGTTTCTATCCATGACTATAAAGGCCGCAGAGAGAGAGAGAGAGAGAGAGAGAGAGAGAGAGAGAGAGAGAGAGGCATACCTTTGCTTGTGAGGGGGGACCGGCGGGTGAGCGCCATTCACTTGTGATGGGGCACTTGTGGGTGAGTGCCATTTGTAGCAAAAGGGGAGACCAGTGGGGTGAAAATGGAAAGAAGGGAATAAAAACATTAGGTCGTTCGGTAACGTTTTTGTTTTCGCGTCTTGAAAAAAATTAAAAACAGAGATAAATTTTGTCTTTGTTTTGTGATAAACACAAAAATCGAAAATATGTTTGGGAGTCGTTTTTGTCTATCAAATTATGAGAATAAAAACAAAAAATATGTTTGGTAACAAATTCAAATTTTATCTTAAATATATTTGGTATCTATTTGACAATTAAATCAACACAACACACACGCACACACAAATTTTCTTCACACGCACAGATCTTTTTCCTCACAGTGGATGTCATGGCTTGAAGACAATCACCTTATCCTCTTCTTCACCTTCTATGCACAAATCTGTGTATATATGCACAGTTTCTGGGTTTCACAGAGAAGAGGGAGAGAGGTAACAATGGGAAGGAGAGAGGCAGCGCTGGGGAAAAGATAGGCAACGATGGGGAGGAGAGGCAGTGATGGGGGTTTCTTTCGGTTGTCTTATACAGAGAAAGGAGAAGAGGAGGGAGAGAAAAGAGAGACGGAGAGAGAATCGATGGGAGGAGAGACGCTTGAAATGGGTTTTTATACGTCCACGAAAAATAACACATTTTTGTTGATAATGAGGGTCAAATCCGAGACCTCATTAAAAACTTCAGCTGAGTTGCGCGCGTGTTTTGTGTTTCAAATATTTTCTAAAACACATTTTTTTTGTTCCCGTTTTTTTGTCTTTGTTCCCATTTTTTTCAAGACAACTAATATAAAACAAAAACAAATATAATACTCAAACATGTCTTTGTTTTCATTTTTGACAAAAATTGAAAACAAAAACATAAAACATAAGACAAAGATAATTACCAAACAGGTCGTTCGGTAACGTTTTTGTTTTCGCGTCTTGAAAAAAATTAAAAACAGAGATAAATTTTGTCTTTGTTTTGTGATAAACACAAAAATCGAAAATATGTTTGGGAGTCGTTTTTGTCTATCAAATTATGAGAATAAAAACAAAAAATATGTTTGGTAACAAATTCAAATTTTATCTTAAATATATTTGGTATCTATTTGACAATTAAATCAACACAACACACACGCACACACAAATTTTCTTCACACGCACAGATCTTTTTCCTCACAGTGGATGTCATGGCTTGAAGACAATCACCTTATCCTCTTCTTCACCTTCTATGCACAAATCTGTGTATATATGCACAGTTTCTGGGTTTCACAGAGAAGAGGGAGAGAGGTAACAATGGGAAGGAGAGAGGCAGCGCTGGGGAAAAGATAGGCAACGATGGGGAGGAGAGGCAGTGATGGGGGTTTCTTTCGGTTGTCTTATACAGAGAAAGGAGAAGAGGAGGGAGAGAAAAGAGAGACGGAGAGAGAATCGATGGGAGGAGAGACGCTTGAAATGGGTTTTTATACGTCCACGAAAAATAACACATTTTTGTTGATAATGAGGGTCAAATCCGAGACCTCATTAAAAACTTCAGCTGAGTTGCGCGCGTGTTTTGTGTTTCAAATATTTTCTAAAACACATTTTTTTTGTTCCCGTTTTTTTGTCTTTGTTCCCATTTTTTTCAAGACAACTAATATAAAACAAAAACAAATATAATACTCAAACATGTCTTTGTTTTCATTTTTGACAAAAATTGAAAACAAAAACATAAAACATAAGACAAAGATAATTACCAAACAGGTCGTTCGGTAACGTTTTTGTTTTCGCGTCTTGAAAAAAATTAAAAACAGAGATAAATTTTGTCTTTGTTTTGTGATAAACACAAAAATCGAAAATATGTTTGGGAGTCGTTTTTGTCTATCAAATTATGAGAATAAAAACAAAAAATATGTTTGGTAACAAATTCAAATTTTATCTTAAATATATTTGGTATCTATTTGACAATTAAATCAACACAACACACACGCACACACAAATTTTCTTCACACGCACAGATCTTTTTCCTCACAGTGGATGTCATGGCTTGAAGACAATCACCTTATCCTCTTCTTCACCTTCTATGCACAAATCTGTGTATATATGCACAGTTTCTGGGTTTCACAGAGAAGAGGGAGAGAGGTAACAATGGGAAGGAGAGAGGCAGCGCTGGGGAAAAGATAGGCAACGATGGGGAGGAGAGGCAGTGATGGGGGTTTCTTTCGGTTGTCTTATACAGAGAAAGGAGAAGAGGAGGGAGAGAAAAGAGAGACGGAGAGAGAATCGATGGGAGGAGAGACGCTTGAAATGGGTTTTTATACGTCCACGAAAAATAACACATTTTTGTTGATAATGAGGGTCAAATCCGAGACCTCATTAAAAACTTCAGCTGAGTTGCGCGCGTGTTTTGTGTTTCAAATATTTTCTAAAACACATTTTTTTTGTTCCCGTTTTTTTGTCTTTGTTCCCATTTTTTTCAAGACAACTAATATAAAACAAAAACAAATATAATACTCAAACATGTCTTTGTTTTCATTTTTGACAAAAATTGAAAACAAAAACATAAAACATAAGACAAAGATAATTACCAAACATGTCCTTAATTTTCTATTGTACAAAGGTATTTAGGTAAATATGTAGATATCCTATTAGTAAGTTTAGCGATCCCAAACTTCACGTGTGGGATCTAAAAATCCAATTCAGAAGAGATATGTGGCCCCAAAACATACGGCCCCATTTTTTGTAGGCAACGGATATCCCCTCCTTAATTCTCTTGCCAAATCAAGGATAAGTGGGTCCCTTGAATATTTTTAGTTCAATCCCCTTGAGTATCCACCTTTATCTGGGACCCCAAACACATCCAAAGAGGAGAAAGCCTTTTGATTAGAGACCGGGGGAGGGGGGTTTATGATCTTTGGCACAACTAAAGGCTTTTTTATGCTCATTTTAGTAGGAACGGTGTAAAGTAGAAGAGATAAAAAAATAGAAAAATATATTTCTATACTTCAAAGAAGAAAATAAAGAACAATATATTTTTCTTCCTTTATGTTTGGTAGGATGAGTGAAAAATAAAAATTATTAATTTTTTTTGTGCTTGTTAAGATTTGGGGTGACAATCGAGTTGTGTCGTGTTAGGTTTGCGTCAAGTCATTGCAGGTTTGTGTCGAACATTAATCAAATATAACTCAACTCATTTAATTAATCATGTCGTATCGTGTAGATCTGTTTATTTTCATATTGTATTTGTGTTGACCCACATAAACTTTGAATACAAAATTTAATGCTAATATTTTATTTTGATTAATTGAATCAATCCTCATACTTTTTCTACAAACTAAAATTTAATTTTAAATAAATTTAATAATAATAATAATAATAAATAAAAATATCATTTTTATATAGTAATTATATTAGTGCTTAATAAATAGTTACAAATAATTAATATTTTATATGTATAATATTAGTTAAACATGTTAATTTCGTATTACCATGCAAACGAGAAAATAGAGAAAATATTTATTCTTAAATACATGGGTTGATGACGTCAATTTTAGGTTTGACAGGTTGAACTAACTATGAGCCGTTTATATTTCGTGTTCGTGTCAGGTCATTTTCGAGTTCATGTTAAGTAATAATTAAGATCGTGTCATAAAATTTGTGTCGTGTTCGAATTGTGTCATCTTATTGAGTCAAAAGTTTTCACTTCTAGCTATGATGGAAAAAATATTTATTTTTATTTTAAATATTTTATTTTTATTTTTTATTCTTAAATATTTTATTTTTATTTTTTTAAAAAAAACTATAAATACATATTTTATAATTGTATTTTTGTATGTAATTAATGTAAACATAATATATGCATATGCAGGAAAGAATTTCTGCAATAAAGAGAAATAACGATCCACTAGATGATGACATGAAACAATCAAAAAGTTAGGAAAGTAGTTGGGTGAATACCCGTCTAATTCCCTCTAAAGCTTAAGTCAGTCGGCATTAGAGACCAACACAATGTATTTTTCTCGTTCTGAATTGCGTACATTTGTTCATCTTTCTGAGGAGTATTTATACCTAAACTAGCAATGAGTGTAGGGGCTTTGAGTCTCATCTTAACATTTAATGTCTCGCACTCTTATCTATGCATAATGAGTGTTATTCCCTTATATTCTCATAACACTGATTTAATTGGGTGATCGGATGCTAGCTCGGGACATGCTGAACATTTATGGCCTTATCCCCAATCATTAAATACATCTAATCGGTGATTGACACTTATGCCCGAGCGTTTACTGCTCGAGAATAAACATCTCGGAGTGTGCCGAGAACATAGGGTTGACTCAGTAGCAATTAATGCTTTATAATGATGATTGTCTCCGTTGGTCTCGAGGGCACAGAGACTCATTAATAACCTTGTCACAATCACTTAAATCGTCATTAATGAGCAATCACGTCCTCTTTAATGCTGGGGTTAATCGGTGTATGCTCGACTCTTCTGAGTCATAACTCCTCGGCACCTTCTCCCAACATCTTTTGAGGTCCATAACGGTTATAACTATCCACATGTCGACTTGGGGCTGCTGAGCCCCCTAAAGTCTCATCAGTATATATCAAATGATATATAAATAAATAAGATATATTCTAATTTTCTATCCTTTTATTTTTTTATTATACCAAACGAAGCATTAGTGATATCAATCCGAGTGTTATTAACCTAAAGTTCCCATTTAGTTGCAGTTAATGGTAGTAGATGCTGCCAATGATTCATGACTCACAAATTATAAGATTATAACTGCGATGATTAGCATATAATATATGAGTAACAAACTTTGTTTTCTTAAATTACATACATTATACAGAAACCACTCAAAATTACTGCAAATAAGATAATCCTCTGAAAATGCAGCACAATAATTTCAATAGCATTTGCCATTAACCCCGACGTATGTTCTATGCGATTTATTTGGTAGGAGATGGATGATAACGAACTGGAATCAAACACAACTCCTGTTTTCTTCTCACAGTGATGCCAAAGGTCTCAGTCATGTCTAGTTCTTCTTGCTTCAATCCATTGGGAAGTTCCCAAGCGAAATGGTACAGAAGTTGTGCAAGTGGGAGCTCAATATTAGGCAGGGCAAATAATATGCCTGGACAAATCCTTCTTCCAGCACCAAATGGGATGTATTCGAAATCTGTCCCCTTGTAATCGACTGCACTATCAAGAAATCGCTCTGGGTTGAATTTCTCACCTTCACTCCAGTACCTTGGATCTCTTCCAATTGCCCAGGCATTGACAATAACTCTGGTCTGGACGGGTATTTCATATCCATTTACTTCGCATTGCTCGCTACATTCTCTTGGAAGCAGCAGAGGAGCAGAGGGGTGTAGCCTCAAGGTCTCTTTTATTACTGCTTGCAGGTATTTTAATTCATGAAGGCCACCTTCATCCACGTTTCCTCTTCCACCAAAGACTTTTCTTACCTCAGTTTGTGCCCTTTTCATTACTTGTGGGCTTTTAAGCATTTCTGACATTGCCCACGCCACTGCTGTTGATGAAGTGTCACTCCCGGCACTTAAAATGTCCTGAAATAGAGTTGATGGACTCACATTAGTTTATTGGTAGGGCCAAATATTCTTCCTTTTTTTGCATATAGGTCTCTTGAAGCACTCCATATGAGGCTACATAAAAGAAAGAAAATTGACAAATCACAGTTATACATACTATAACGAGGAGCATTTTTGGTCTCGAGCATTGTTCTCATGTAGACCTCTATTAATTAAGCTATTATCATTGTTGTACAACTGGAAAAATGTGAGGGAAGTTATGTGGTTGATTGACCTTGCTCCCAAGGCTCCAACTTACAATCAGAAATTAATGCTTTTTCAACCAAATAGACCCTCATTCTCACCCCCATCACCCCCCCCCCTCCAACAACACACACAACAAATCTCAGAAAGGAAAAGAATAACCCACCCTCTGTACATATTTGTCTTTTCCCATAATGCTTACCTCCAGCATCAATCTTTACTTAAGATGCTACAAATAAATATACCTTGAATTTGGTGATGATGTTGTTGTTACTCGTAAGTATTACTACTAAATGTTACTAATGAACAAACAAAACAACTCACAAAGAGGACTGCTTTGATGTTTCTGTCGGTTAATGGAACTTGTAGGTCGCCATGCTTCTGAAATTTAAGAAGAACGTCTACTAGATCCTCCTCTGCTGCTTCCTCCCCAGTTTTTGTTGTCATATTCTTCTCTTTGTGATCATTGACAATGTTTTCAAGTATCTCATCAATTCTTTTGTGTAGCTTCTCAAGTCTAGGTCTCATTCCGCTTATGAGTTGAAGAAATTTGAAAGAAGGGTACATGTCGCAGAGGCTGAAACCTCCTGCCAGCTTTACAACTTCCTCTACCAGAGAGACAAATGCTTCTTGGTCTGTGTTTTTTTTCCCAAATGCAGCTCTTGCAGTAATACCGTATGTCAGAGAGAAAATTTTCTTGCTAAGATTGATAGGGGATCTCCAATCTGGAGATATCGACCTAATGAGATGCAAGACCTCCTCTTCCCTTATTGATCGAAATCCTTGGACCCGATTTGAATTCAACAGCTCCACTGTGCAAATTTTGCGCAGTTGTCTCCAGTAATCTCCGTACGGTGAAAAGCCAATGTTTGTAGAATCATAAGAGAGAATTCGGGAAAAGAGAAGGTAAGGTCTGTTGGCAAAGATAATATCATGTGTTTTCATAACCTCTTTGGCAATTTCTGGTGAAGAAACGATGACAGTTGAAACTTCACCGAGCCGTAGGTGCATCAGTGGTCCATATTTGTTGGATAAATCTCTCAGGACATGATGAGTGAGTGATCCAAGAAGCTGGTGCATGTTTCCTATGAGAGGCAGTTGCCATGGGCCTGGGGGTAGTTTTGGAGTTGACTTATTAGTAGTGGATCTTTTCACACCAATTCTGATCAGTGCAAACAGAAAGAGGAGGAAAGCAAGAAGAATAGAGATGGAGGGAAACTGAAATTCCATGAGGATTAAAGGAGAGTAACAACTAGGACAAAAAAGAAGCTTATGACTAAGGAGAGTAGCACTGAGGACTGAAGAAAGGGTGTTATTGGCTTCTGAAGAATGTTGCAAAGCAATTCATTGTATCCGCCATTTATGACTTTTTTTGCTGAGGAAGCCAAGTTCAATTATTAGACTGCACTGGAATTTCTTATATAAGTCCATTTCGACATGGCCTCCTGATGCTGATGTTTTGTAGAGATTTTTTCTAGGCTTAAGATTTTCTTTGTTACCAATGAATTACCTTCAAGTCTTTTAACTCTAGAGCATACATGCTATACTAGTAAGGGATCCATTTGAATAGAATTAGCGCCGGCACATAAACACTCGAGTGGATCTGAATTAAATTTTTTTGGCCTTCGGTTCTGCGTATGTTTCCAAATTGTTGAGATCTTATCTTCCTTTTAGGACTTCAGCCTTCATTTGTGAAGGTGTAATATGGGAAATGTCATGCTTTTTTTTTTTTTTTGGGGGGGGGGGGAGTAATTGAGGTGTCAAAGTCTAATTTTCACTGATTTTTGTTTCTCCTTTGACAAAAGAATCTCTATTTTTCAAGCGAACCAAAAAAACTGTAAAAAAGGAGGATTGGCGGCAAGTTTCGTGTTTATTTAATCTTATTATAATTGAAAGAGTAAACTACTCGACCATCTCAATCGTCACATCATTGGATCGTAACATTAGGTACAAGTAGTATTGTTAGAACTAAAACCTCAGCTTAAGGCAGAAGGAGAATATAACCCCGGCAGGCACCGATCATTGATCAACTGGTTGTGCCATAGGTTGATAACCAACAGGAACTACATACAGGTCTCGTTTTCTCTTAACTGCTGCGCCAAAGAACTCTGTCATATCAATTTCTTCTTTCTTTATTCCAGTGGGGAGTTTCCAATCAAAATGATACAACAACTGTGCAAGTTTGAACTCCAAATTGATCACACCAAATGAAATGCCTGGACACATCCTCCTTCCAGCACCAAATGGAATGAGTCACCTTGTAATCAACTGAACTATCAAGGAATCTCTCTTCAAAGCACTCAGCATTGGTCCAGTACTTGAGGTCTCTTCCAATTGCCCCTGCATTCACAATAACTTTGGTTTTCTCCGGTATCTCGTATCCATTGATCTCACATCTCTCTCCACATACTCTGGGAGGTAATAGAGGAACCGGTGGGTGTAATTGAAGAGTCTCTTTGATAACTGCTTCTAAGTACTTGAGTTCATGAAAGAGTGTTTCGTCCACGTTTCCTTTGCTATGGAACACACGTTTCACCTTGTCTTGTGCCTTTTTCATGATGCTTGGCTTTCTGAGCATTTCAGACATTGCCCAGGCTGCAGCTGTGGCTGATGTTTCACTCCCAGCACTAAACATGTCATGATACAACTGATATAATTGAAGTTACATAATCAAAATATGAGGTATAGAGTTGTTTGTTGAACACGCTACTATCATTCTTGTTGCTACTTTCTTTCAGATTCTCCTCTTGAGGCATATTGGCTTGGCTCGCCAAAGAATTGACAGCCAGTCAGTTTGTTGGTTAACAGGTGTCTAGCTAGCAAAGAAACCGAAAAAAATGTTTTTGTGATGCTCAACAGGTTCTAATCATCTATACACTTATTCTCGGCAGAGGAATTTTGAGGGCAGAGGAATTTATATTTGTAACCCTACTGATGCAGGATGCATAGAAAGATTAAAAACAAGCTGAAAAGAAAATGACACTAACCTGGAGAACTGCTTTGATGTTGTCGGTTGTCAAGTAAAATTCAGGATTTCCTTCTTCCTCATATTTCGAAAGAACATCAACCAGATCTTCCTATGCTTCACCCTCGTTCTTTGTTAGCTTGCCAACTTTATGTTCATTGATGATGTTTCGAAGTATCTTGTCTGCTTCTTGTTGCAGCTTTTTAAGGTTGGACTTCATCCTGCCGATGGAGTGAAGCCATTTGAGGGAAGGATATACATCTTCAATACAGAAGCCTTTCACAGTCTCCTTGCTTATTGAAATGTAATTGTCTTGGTCCTTACTTTTCTTACCAAAACTGCCTTTGAAGTTATGGAAAATGTTGTCGAGATAATTTTTTCAGTAAGGTTGATAGGTGATCCAGTTTTTGAAGCTATCCATTCGATGAGATTGGTTACTTCTTCTTCTCTTTATTGATTGAAAAGATTGGATACAATGACTCAGGAAGATAATAAGTCTCATTTAAATGCGTGATAGGTGATATATTTGAAGGAATTGATAGATCAGGATTAGATTTGTGTGGGTATCGTGGTTCCAAATTGCTCAGATGTGCCCCTGGTGGTACTGGCTAGCATTCAATTGTCAAGCTGAATTTTAATCTTGCCATCTCTTGTTCTTTTCAATTGCATAGTTACTATGTTGAGCAAGTGTGATGGAGTTTGAATTCATGATGAATGATTGGAAATGGACATCTTTTGAGATGCAGCGTATGTGGCTTGGACTAATTTGACCAATCAGCCGATAGGGATGGTAAGGTCCTGATGGGTGAGGGGAGGAGAGGATGAAGCTTCAATAGGGAGGGAATAGGGATGCCAATAGAAAAAACTAGATTGTTGTTTGCTCGCCAGAGGAAGTGGTTTTATAACAGTTGTGAGCTGGTAAAGAATCAATTTTCAAGGCCATTGGTGACTGTCATAATTTTTTGTCAGCACAGAGAAAATTGTTTATTGAACACCATTTGCACCATATGGCTCTAATTACTGAATTGATCTGTGAGGCCACTGAAGAGGTTTTAAATGGATTTCTGTCATAAACCATGACATGTCTTCTTTTTTCTACTTATAAATCGAAGTTACCAAGTAATTGCTGAGAATGGCAGTAGATGCCACCAATGATTCATAACGCGCAAATTGTATGGTGGATTTTTTTTCAATATATAACTTTCTTATTGGGATATGATATATGTCTAATAGGCTGGATTTTCTTACAATACATACATTATCCACAATCCACGCAAATTTTTTATCTTTCCAACTTTTCATCCTTCTATTTTTCCATTATACCAAACAGAACATTAGTGAAGTGTTATTAACCTGAAGTTCCCATTTAGTTGCAGGGAATGGTAGTAGATGCTGCCAATGATTCATGACTCACAAATTGTAAGCTTATAACTGCGATGATTAGCATATAATATATGAGTGACAAACTTTGTTTTCTTAAATTACATACATTATAAAAAAAACCACTCAAAATTACTGCAAATAAGATAATCCTCTGAAAATGTAGCACAATAATTTCAATAGCATTTGCCATTAACCTCGACATATGTTCTATGCTATTTATTTGGTAGGAGATGCATGAAAACGAACTGGAATCAAGAACAACTCCTGTTTTCTTCTCTCGGTGAGGCCAAAGGTCTCAGTCATGTCTAGTTCTTCTTGCTTCAATCCATTGGGAAGTTCCCAATTGAAATGGTAAAGAAGTTGTGCAAGTGGGAGCTCAATATTAGGCAGGGCAAATAATATGCCTGGACATATCCTTCTTCCAGCACCAAATGGGATGTATTCGAAATCTGTCCCCTTGTAATCGACTGCACTATCAAGAAATCGCTCTGGGTTGAATTTCTCACCTTCCGTCCAGTACCTTGGATCTCTTCCAATTGCCCAGGCATTGACAATAACTCTGGTCTGGACGGGTATTTCATATCCATTTACTTCGCATTGCTCGCTACATTCTCTTGGAAGCAGCAGAGGAGCAGAGGGGTGCAGCCTCAAGGTCTCTTTTATTACTGCTTGCAGGTATTTTAATTCATGAAGGCCACCTTCATCCACGTTTCCTCTTCCACCAAAGACTTTTCTTACCTCAGTTTGTGCCCTTTTCATTACTTGTGGGCTTTTAAGCATTTCTGACATTGCCCACACCACTGCTGTTGATGAAGTGTCACTCCCGGCACTTAAAATGTCCTGAAATAGAGTTGATGGACTCACATTAGTTTATTGGTAGGGCCAAATATTCTTCCTTTTTTTGCATATAGGTCTCTTGAAGCACTCCATATGAGGCTACATAAAAGAAAGAAAATTGACAAATCACAGTTATACATACTATAACGAGGAGCATTTTTGGTCTCGAGCATTGTTCTCATGTAGACCTCTATTAATTAAGCTATTATCATTGTTGTACAACTGGAAAAATGTGAGGGAAGTTATGTGGTTGATTGACCTTGCTCCCAAGGCTCCAACTTACAATCAGAAATTAATGCTTTTTCAACCAAATAGACCCTCATTCTCACCCCCATCACCCCCCCCCCCTCCAACAACACACACAACAAATCTCAGAAAGGAAAAGAATAACCCACCCTCTGTACATATTTGTCTTTTCCCATAATGCTTACCTCCAGCATCAATCTTTACTTAAGATGCTACAAATAAATATACCTTGAATTTGGTGATGATGTTGTTGTTACTCGTAAGTATTACTACTAAATGTTACTAATGAACAAACAAAACAACTCACAAAGAGGACTGCTTTGATGTTTCTGTCGGTTAATGGAACTTGTAGGTCGCCATGCTTCAAAATTTAAGAAGAACGTCTACTAGATCCTCCTCTGCTGCTTCCTCCCCAGTTTTTGTTGTCATATTCTTCTCTTTGTGATCATTGACAATGTTTTCAAGTATCTCATCAATTCTTTTGTGTAGCTTCTCAAGTCTAGGTCTCATTCCGCTTATGAGTTGAAGAAATTTGAAAGAAGGGTACATGTCGCAGAGGCTGAAACCTCCTGCCAGCTTTACAACTTCCTCTACCAGAGAGACAAATGCTTCTTGGTCTGTGTTTTTTTTCCCAAATGCAGCTCTTGCAGTAATACCGTATGTCAGAGAGAAAATTTTCTTGCTAAGATTGATAGGGGATCTCCAATCTGGAGATATCGACCTAATGAGATGCAAGACCTCCTCTTCCCTTATTGATCGAAATCCTTGGACCCGATTTGAATTCAACAGCTCCACTGTGCAAATTTTGCGCAGTTGTCTCCAGTAATCTCCGTACGGTGAAAAGCCAATGTTTGTAGAATCATAAGAGAGAATTCGGGAAAAGAGAAGGTAAGGTCTGTTGGCAAAGATAATATCATGTGTTTTCATAACCTCTTTGGCAATTTCTGGTGAAGAAACGATGACAGTTGAAACTTCACCGAGCCGTAGGTGCATCAGTGGTCCATATTTGTTGGATAAATCTCTCAGGACATGATGAGTGAGTGATCCAAGAAGCTGGTGCATGTTTCCTATGAGAGGCAGTTGCCATGGGCCTGGGGGTAGTTTTGGAGTTGACTTATTAGTAGTGGATCTTTTCACACCAATTCTGATCAGTGCAAACAGAAAGAGGAGGAAAGCAAGAAGAATAGAGATGGAGGGAAACTGAAATTCCATGAGGATTAAAGGAGAGTAACAACTAGGACAAAAAAGAAGCTTATGACTAAGGAGAGTAGCACTGAGGACTGAAGAAAGGGTGTTATTGGCTTCTGAAGAATGTTGCAAAGCAATTCATTCCATCCGCCATTTATGACTTTTTTTGCTGAGGATGCCAAGTTCAATTATTAGACTGCACTGGAATTTCTTATATAAGTCCATTTCGACATGGCCTCCTGATGCTGATGTTTTGTAGAGATTTTTTCTAGGCTTAAGATTTTCTTTGTTACCAATGAATTACCTTCAAGTCTTTTAACTCTAGAGCATACATGCTATACTAGTAAGGGATCCATTTGAATAGAATTAGTGCCGGCACATAAACACTCGAGTGGATCTGAATTAAATTTTTTTGGCCTTCGGTTCTGCATATGTTTCCAAATTGTTGAGATCTTATCTTCCTTTTAGGACTTCAGCCTTCATTTGTGAAGGTGTAATATGGGAAATGTCATGCTTTGGGGGGTTGGGGGGGGAGTAATTGAGGTGTCAAAGTCTAATTTTCACTTATTTTTGTTTATCCTTTGACAAAAGAATCTCTATTTTCCAAGCGAACCAAAAAAAAAGTGAAAAAAAGGAGGATTGGTGGCAAGTTTCGTGTTTATTTCATCTTATTATAATTGAAAGACTAAACTACGCAGACCATCTCAATCGTCACATCATTGGATCGTACCATTAGGTACAAGTAGGTGTTGTTTTCTCTTTACTGCGGCGCCGAAGCACTCTGTCATGTCAATTTCTTCTTTCTTCATTCCAGTGGGGAGTTTGCAATCAAAATGATACAACAACTGTGCAAGTTCGAACTCCAAATTGACCACACCAAATGAAATGCCTGGACACATCCTCCTTCCAGCTCCAAATGGAATGTACTGAAAATGAGTCCCCTTATAATCAACTGAACAATCAAGGAATCTCTCTGGTTCAAAGAACTCAGCATTGGTCCAATAATTGGGATCCCTTCCAATTGCCCATGTATTCACAATGACTTTGGTTTTCTCCGGTATCTCGTATCCATTAATCTCACATCTCTCTCCACGTACTGTCGGAAGCAATAGAGGAACCGGTGGGTGTAATCGAAGAGTCTCTTTGATAACTGCTTCTAAGTACTTGAGTTCGTGAAAGAGTGTTTCGTCCACATTTCCTTTGCTGTGGAACACACGTCTCACCTCGTCTTGTGCCTTTTTCAGGATGCTTGGCTTTCTGAGCATTTCAGACATTGCCCAGTCTGCAGCTGCGGCCAATGTTTCACTCCCAGCACTAAACATGTCCTGATACAATTGATATAATTTAAGTTACATAATCAAAATATGAGGTATAGAGTTGTTTGTTGACACACGCTACTATCATTCTTGTTGCTACTTTCATTCAGATTCTCCTCTCAAAGGCATATTGGCTTGGCTCGCAAAAGAATTGACAGCCAGTCAGGTTGTTGGTTAACAGGTGTCTATGTAGCAAAAAAACCGAAAAAAATGTTTTTGTGATGCTCAACAGGTTCTATTCATCTATACACTTATTCTCGGCAGAGGAATTTTGAGGGTAGAGGAATTTATATTTGTAACCCTACTGATGCAGGATGCATAGAAAGATTAAAAACAAGCTGAAAGGAAAATGACACTAACGTGGAGAACTGCTTTGATGTTGTCGGTTGTCAAGTAAAATTCAGGATTTCCTTGTTCCTGATATTTCAAATGAACATCAATCAGATCTTCATATGCTTCACCGTCATTCTTTGTTAGCTTGCCAACTTTATGTTCATTGATGATGTTTCCAAGTATCCTGTCTACTTCTTGTTGCAGCTTTTTAAGTTTAGACTTCATCCCGCCGATGGAGTGAAGCCATTTGAGGGAAGGATATACATCTTCAATACAGAAGCCTCCTGCCGCTTCCACAGTCTCCTTGATTATTGAAATGTAATTGTCTTGGTCCTTACTTTTCTTACCAAAAACTGCCTTTGAAGTTATGGAAAGTGTTGTTGAGATAATTTTTTCAGTAAGGTTGATAGGTGATCCTGTTTTTGAAGCTATCCATTCGATGAGATTGTATACTTCTTCTTCTCTTATTGATCGAAAAGATTGAACTCGTTTGGTGCTTAAGAGCTCCAATACACAAATTTTTCTCACTTGTCTCCAATATTCACCATATGGAGCAAAGACAAGGCTTGTGCAATCATAAGACATGATTGTTGCAGCAACAATAGGGGGCCTTCAAGCAAAGATGATGTCATGGTTTTCATAACCTCTTTCGCAGTTTTCTGGTGAAGAAATAACAATGGTGGAAACTTCACCAAGTTGTAGGTGCATTAGGGGGCCATGTTTCTTAGCCAAGGCCCTAAGGCCTTGGTGGGGAAGAGAACCGGCCAATTGGTGCAAATTTCCTATGAAAGGTAGCTTCCATGGGCCGGGTGGTAGATTTGAAGCTGAATTACTGGATTTGGATCCATTTCTCCTTTTCAGGAGCATGAACACAAAGAAAGAGAAGGTCAAAAGTGCAGAGAAGAATGAGAATTGAAGCTCCATCAGGAAATAGAGATGAGTCTAGCGGAAAGTCTTGTGGTGAAAATAAATTGCATTATATTCAGTTTTATCAGTGTATGCAATCTTGGAGCTTTGCATGTTACAAGATTCTCTTTGTTCTGTGGCATCTTTGTATTATCTAAATCAAATAGATGCTTCAAAGTTTCAAAACTGAATCTGTCTTCTGCAATTTGGCTGTATCTAATTAACATAGTATAAACTACATCTTCAAATCCTAAAAAAAATACCACAAAATTTGATTAATATATATCTGGAAGTGAAAATTTTATATAGAATTACTTGTTTTGGTTATGCAATATCTTCCTTCATATTCACTACTTTAAGCTTTTTGCTGTCATGAAAACGATTTCTGGTTGAAGCGTTCCACTCTGGTAGTCTGAGTAATCTTAAGGAAGTGTTGGTTTGACTTCAGAAAATAACAGCCATATTTATACTCATTCTATGACATTCTCCAGGTTTTTATCTGCATTTGTTAACATGAGATGTAAAAGCTGTTTAATATTCGGGTGCCAATTCACAACTCACCGGAATTGACATCCACACTCACTAAAGAAGTTGAGTATGAAGAATATTTTGGGGGTTGAGGGGCCGAAAGATGAAACATTGGCGTGGAGTGTGCTTACTGAGCCGCGCGTAAACATGCTGAGATTCTGCTTACTTATGACTGCTTGGAATGGAGTTCTAATCAAGCTCAACTCTTGACCTTATAATGTGGCTGAAGCTCGGCTCTGCTAAAGCTTGGAAGCATTCGAACCAAAGTTGAAAAAGCTCAATTTCTTAACAAAAATTTCAAATTTAAACCTTAAACTTAATAATTAATGCCAAAAAATAATTTCTTAATGAAAATCCTATAAAACCTGTATAATTAATTACAAATTATAATCATAAAATTTAACACTTCTCAAATTTCTGTTAGAAAAAGAGGAAGTGGGAAGTGTATATGCCATGAAACTATTGAGGATAAGATTGGAGTTGTCCCTCTTTCAAATAGTAGTTGTTTGGACGGTAAAATTAAAAGTTCCAAGCCGAGCTGAGACTGTTTGACTCAAATCATGCGTTGCTAAGATTCAACTTATTTACAATACGAGCTTAGAAATTGATCATACAAGATTCATTTTGTTTTACAATTTTAATGAGCCCCCTCAATGAACTGAGCTGCTCAGAACTTTTGATAAAACCAATTGGCATGGTGAAAGAGCTATTGTATCCTGCTTCTTTGAAGATGACGACATATCTTACTCTAGGCTGGGGTGTGCACTTACCAATATTGGACTGATGAGGAAACACTATTTAGTTACTAATGATTCACTATATTCCAGAAATTCTTGTTTACTTCACTTCTGAACACTTATTATCAGCAAGAACACCCTTGGACGTTTGAAATTAATAAGAAACAATAAACTAAACAGTCGAAACCCATGGACAGACATAAAGGTGCTCATCAAACTGATGTTTACTTATTTTAGAGGTCCACAGCCAAGTTATAAGACTCAGATCTGCACAATCTCACAAGTTTGGTATTTATCTGACGAATTTTAGCCCGTATCTTTTCCACATATGGTACATAACCTGAAACATTAGATGCATAACAAAAACTAATTGGTAACACTGCCTCAGATTGACACTAGGCATTAATACTGACACTGAACATCTGTGCTGATTAATAGCTTTTACCTTCTCTTCTTATTGAGGAGTAAATATTCAACACAACAGCGATATTCATCCTTATTTAGATGGTGAAGGATGATAAGTGACAGGAATTAGATGCAGTTCGGTTTTCTTCTTAACCCTTGCGCCAAATACCTCAGTCATGTCAGGAGCTTTCAATACTTGAGAGATTTCAGTGATTCAGAACTAAGTGTTCCACATTTATGCTTTGGAGCACACAAGGATTCGCAAGAGTATCTTTGGGTTTGTTTTCTGCTGTTTGACATTTTGGGTTATTGTCCAAAATGATGAATTTGTTGCTGCAGGCAATGGTTTTAATAAGGGCTTAGTGACTGAACAGTGCATCTCAAGTGCATTTTCATTAAGTCAAGTTGGACAGTTAAGGAAGCATATTAAGGATTCTTAAATTGATGGCGATCGAGTCGAAGTGCTGTCACAACCTGTTTTGGATCAAATTATCCATATCAGTTCCAACGTTTGATTACTTCGCACCCAAAAGAAGTAAACCGAACCTCACCTTCCAATAATGGAACGGGAGAGGATCTCAGTCATTAAGCAACATGCTTGAATTTTCAAATAAGACATTGCATGAATCTATAGAGAGAAGAAAGATTATAGATCAAAACTTCAAAAAGAAAGATAAGTGAAAAGTTGGAGAGACAATAGGATGATAAAAGTAGTAAAACATACGAGAGCTATGTTAGAGTGTTCATAATAAAGGTAGTTTATGCATTTTCTTTATGTTGTGTTGCCCAACTATATAAGGGTTACTTTGTGTATTTCTAGATTATGATGAGGCTTTTGCTCTAGTTGTCAAGATGACTACTGTTCACACCGTGATTGCAGTTGCTGCCATTCGACAATGAAGTTTGTCTCAAATGGATGTGATAAATGTATTTCTACATGGAGATTTGGCTGAAGAAGTTTTTATGACACCTCCTCCTGGATTATCTTATAGTTCTGATCAAGTATGTCGACTTCATCGTTCCTTATATGGTTTTAAACAGGCTCCCAGAGTATGATTTGCCAAATTTTCTTTGGTTATCTGTGACTTGAGTTTTCGTGCCAGTGACCATGATTCTGCTCTCTTTTTACGGTCTACTTCCTCAGGTTCTATTATTCTCTTACTATATGTTGATGATATGATTATTACGGGTAATGACACTGCTAGCATCTGCTTATTGAAAACCCAGTTGCAAGACCATTTTGAGATGAAAAATTTAGGGCTGCTTAGATATTTCTTGGGTATTGAGATTGCTTCCTCTCCTAAAGGGTATCTTCTCTCTTAATCCAAGTATGCTTCAGATGTTATTGAATGAGCTCGTTTATCAGATAATCAGACAGTTGAGACACCTTTAGAGCTCAATGTTCGTTACTCTTCGTCTGACGGTACTCCCTTATCTGACCCAACCCTCAATCGGACTATTGTTGGGAGTTTAGTATATCTTACAGTCACTCGTCCGGATATCTCTTATGATGTTCACATTGTGAGTCAATTTGTTGCCTTACCCACCACCGTTCACTGGTCTACTGTTCTTCGCATTCTTCAGTATCTTCGTGGTACTCTATTAGAGTTTACTCTTTCCTCACTCTTCATCTATGAAACTCAGGGCTTACTCTGATGCTGACTGGGCTGGTAACTCTTGGATCGTAAGTCCACCATTGGTTTCTGCCTGTTCTTAGGAATTCTCTTATTTCCTGAAAAAGCAAGAAACAAACTGTTGTTGCTCGTTCTTCTGCTGAAGCTAAGTATCGTGCTATGACATCTACTATAGCT